TTCTTAAAACTTAAATAGAAGGAAAGCACCGGTATGAATCCTGTTTACTTTTTTAAATTTTGTACCTTATAGTTTATAGGCTCCTCCTCATATTTTGAAGATACAGGATGTGGTCCATGCATTGATGCATGTGTCAGAGGGTCCTCAAGACCAGTGCTGTTTTCATAGTGCCTTCCTGACTCTCACTCTCATGAGTGTACAGTCTGTTTTCCAGAGGATCCATGATGACAGCAGAGGCTGACATGAGCATCAGGTGATCGTCTAATACAGATTTGTAAAAACAAATCCAGAACTATGCAACTTTCCAAATATATTGTTTTTTGATTTTGGAGAGTGCAGTGTTTTATGTTTTCTTTTTTGTTGTTGTTTTTAACCACAGAATGAATCAAATATATTGAATTTATTGTTAATTTTAAATGAATTATTAGATCTATTTCTTAAATTTCACTTTTGTTTTCTAATTGATAAATACCTGTATATGTATTCCATTAGACATGAACTCTTGGGTGTTCTCTCTACTTATCTGAATATAAGGGGGTTTGAGGTCATGAAGTTTGAGACCTATCAATTTACATGATGAATTTTGGCTTTAAGGCAAATAAATAGCTATATATCAATGAAGTGGGATTTCAAGTCAGTAAGCACTGGTGACTTGGGGTACTTCTCTAGCAAGGGCTCCTGAGCTTCCTGGGAAAAAAAGCGGGGGTGGGGGGTGGGAAGGACTATTCTAAGACTTAGCTCTTTCTGACCCGGTTGACATGATGGTGGAAGAGGAGAGTATTATCTAAACTTTTATTTTTTTTTTTACTTTTTCTTTTCTTTTATTTTACAATACCATTCAGTTCTACATAACAGCCACAGATTCTCTTCCTGTCCCCCTCCCCTTCCCCCCAGCCCACCCCCCATTCCCACCTCCTCCAGGGCAAATCCTCCCCTGAGGACTGAGATCGACCTGATAGAGTCAGTCCAGGCAGGTCCAGTCCCTTCCTCCCAGACTGAGGCAAGCGTCCCTGCATAAGCCCCAGGTTTCAAACAGCCAACTCATGCAATGAGCCCAGGACCCGGTCCCACCGCCCAGATGCCTCCTAAACAGATCAAGCCAATCAACTGTCTCACCTATTCAGAGGGCCTGATCCAGTTGGGGGCCCCTCAGCCTTTGGTTCATAGTTCATGTGTTTCCATTCGTTTGGCTATTTGTCCCTGTGCTTCATCCAACCTTGGTTTCAACAATTCTCGCTCATATAAACCCTCCTCTTTCTCGCTAATTATCTAAACTTTTGATGTTGTGACAGGATGATGTCATCTACAGAGTTCATACTAGAGAAACATGCAATTGAATGACAAAAACAAACAAAACAACTGACCTCCCTTATGCATATCTATGTTCCCTTGACTCAGGGCAGAGTATCTATGTAAATTTGGTATTTTTCTGCATGAAAGATTTCCCTCTGTTCTTTTATTGTTTTTCAACGATACATAGTAGTATGGATGCACAGGTTATAGATCACTTTTGTTTTGTTGCTTTAAATAGTCCGGCAATGAATTGGCTCTTTCAGTTAACTCCCATGCCTCGTTGAGTGCGGATCAGTTGTTTGAGTACTACCTCTCTGACACTGAGATCCAGTAAGCTCATTTTGTGTAGTTCCTGCCCAGTCCTAAAGTCAACCACCTCTCCTCCTAGCACTGGTTCCTTTGGTTGCAGAAAATGTACCAAGATCTTGGCAGTACAGTGTGCTCATTTCTCTTGAGGTGTTTCTTTCAGGCCCTCTCAGCTGACAGAAAAAGAAATGTGTGTGTATAGTAACTCATGAGTGTGTACATACTTATAGTATGCACATTTCTGTGTGTAACCATCTGTGTTTACAGTGAGCCAAGCGTTGAGTTCTCACATTTCCAACTAAAATCCATCATCACTTGAATCACTCTAATCACAGCAGTGAGAACCTTACCATATGCTGTCTGTTTGCTTGTTTGTTACACATATAGCAGTGTCAGAACTGCTAACCTGTCCTCACATGGGAAGCAGTTTTATGAGAGTACAGTATTTATATGCACGTCCTTTTGTTCATCCATTAGACCCCTTTCATTTCCATATTTACTTATTTCACTTTTTTTCTCTGTCCAGCTCTTTTCGTAAGACTGTTCCATACATTTATACCATAGTTATATTTATTGTTAAAGTCTCTATGTTTTCACAAGACCTTCTAAATGATTTGCAACATTTTTCATAATTACATTTACTCTTTTATTTAAAGTGCTGAGTTTTAGCTGGGCGGTGGGTGCTCACACCTTTGATCCCAACACTTGGGAGGCAGAGGCAGACAGATCTCTGTAAGTTTGAAACCAGCCTGTTCTACAGAGTGAGTTCCAGGACAGCCAAGGCTACAGAGAGAAACCATGTCTTGGAAAACCAAAATAAACAAACAAATAAATAATAGAGTGCTTACTTTTGATAAAAATGGCATAGTATAGTGTCTTTGCGGTTATAATGTCATACTGAACAGTCTGATCACCTAAAGGACCTGTGTTTCATCTATTAATCCCTAGTCTAGACTTCTCAAACTCCTCATAATATGAAATAAACTGTGCATACTTTTGCCTTTTTTTTTTTTTTTAAACTTTTGCCTGTTATACAGTATAATTGTAACTATATAGGATGCAGACTTTCAGACTGGCATTTTTTACTTAGCAATATGCATTTTAAGTGCGTGCTCTTTCTCTCTCTTTCACCCTCTCCCCCCTTTTCCTCTCTCTCTCTCTCTCTCTCTCTCTCTCTCTCTCTCTC